TGCTGAGTGCCAGCAGCCTGAGGGCAACCGCAGCGCAGGCTGCGCCGACGGAGGGCGGTGGGGCAGGGAGGGGACCGGCCCGTCTGTCTGCCCTCGGCAGCCCCATCCGGACCGCGGGAGCCGTGGGGCTGCGGGAGCGGGGCCGGAGGAGCACGGGGACGGCCGGGGGTGCAGCTGTGTGTGGGGAAAGGCCGAGGGAGGCGCTGTGCCGCCTGGAGAACGGTCGGCTGCGGGGAGACCGCGCTGCGGCATTCCAGTACTCGAATGGAGCCTCTGGGCAGGAAGGGGAAGGAGAACGACTTTGAACGGCCCGGCGCTGCTGCCCGGAGCTGTGGGTGCCCATCCCCGTAGGTGCCCGGGGCCATGGATGGGCAGCCCGAGCTGGGGGGGCACGCAGCCCAGGGCAGGGGTGGGCCTGGATGGTCGTTAAGGTTCCTTGCAAAGCAACCATTTCATGGTTACTCCCCACGACCCCACGACCTCATCGCCCCCTGACCTCACGTGACCCATGACCTCACATGACCCCATGACAGCCATGACTGCCGCGATCCCCTTGAACTCCATCACCTCTATGACCTCCATGCCCCTCCATGACCTCCTCCGACTCCATGGCCGCGCGAACGCCCTCCTGACCCTGTGACCCCACAGCTGTTCCCCAGCCTGGCAGCGCTGGGACCGGCAGGAGCCGGAGCGGGGCCGCTGCAGCTCCTCCTGCAGGGCGTGGCTGGGGACGTGGCCAAGGCCGTGGACAAGGAGCTGGAGGTGAGCGCTGGGGGAACTGGGAGAGACTGGGAGGAGTCTGTTGGGGAGCTGGGGAGGAGTGGGAGGGAATGAGAGGCGTGGGAAGGACTGGGAGGGACAAGGAGGGAGCTGGGAGGAACTGGGATGGAATGGGAGGGATGGGGGGGGGCTGAGAGGGAACAGAGAGGGAACTGGGAGATACTGGGAGGGAACTGGAGGAACTGGGGATGCTGAAGGCCCTCAAACCCCAATCGGGAAGGGAAAGGCCTTCCAGGTGCGGGTCCCCTCACCGGAAGTCCCCCTCCCGACCGGAAGTCCCCTTCCCCAGGTGCTGCTGGAGGCGCTGCTGGGTCGGGCCGCCGAGCTCTGCCCCCGGGCGACGGCGGCTGGGGTGTGGCCCGGGGGGGCGTGGCTCGGGGGGGCGCCTCGGCCACGCCCCCCGCTGCCCCCCGGCCTGGCCCCGGGGGCGCTGCTGGAGCGGGCAGGGGAGGAGATCCGGGAGCAGCTGGGGTAACGGGGCACTGGGGGGACTGGGAGCACTGGGATGGGTGGGAGCGAGGTGTAGAGGAAAGGCGCTGTAAGGGCAGGGGGGGACGTTGGGATGTATTGCAAATGAGTGGGAGTGTGTAATGAGAGTGCTGGGATGGTCAGAGTGACTGAGACGGTGTTAAAGATGACTGGGAAGGCACTGAGATATACCAGGAAACCACTGGGATGGACTGGGATAGATTAGGAAGTACTGGGAGAGCAGTGGGGTGAACTAGGATAGATTCAAAATGACTGGTTGGGCACTGTGAAACGCTGGGAGGCCACTTGGGAAGTGGCAAGTGGGGCATACTGGCAAGATGCTGGAATATAGTGGAATACAGTTGGATGTACAGAGAGGCACTGGGATATACTGAAATGGCACTGAGATATTCAGGGAGGGCACTGAGGGTTGCTGGGGGAGTGCTGAGGGGAACTGGGAGGCACTGGAACATACTGGGAGGGATGTGTGGGAAACTAGAAGGAGATCAGGGAACACTGGGAGGGGATTAGGGTGCACTGGAATGTAATGGGAGGGCACTGGTGGGCACCAGAAGGGGTGCTGGTGCCGCTACCACCCCAAGTGTTCCTGTGGTCAGAGAGGTGCAGCTGGCGCTGGTGACGTCCCTGACCCAGGCAGTGGTGGCTGAGCTGCTGCGGGAGCTACGCCGTGTCCACCAAGCACTGGTGAGTCCCCCCCCGATCCTCCAACAGCCCCCTGGTCCTCCATGAGCCCCCAAAGTACTCCAACACCCTCCAGTGTTCTCCAATACCCATTGGGTTCTCCAACATCCTCTGGAGACCTCCAACCCCTGAGACTATCCAAGATCTTTTGGGTCTTCCAACACCCTTCAAGGTCCTCTTACATTCTGTGGTGCCCTCCAATCTCCCAAAGTCCTCCAGCATCCTTCCAGTCATCCAACAACTTTTGGGTCCTCCAACACCATTGAGATCTGCAAACACCCCCTCAAGTTCTCCAACGCTCCTTTGATCCAAAACCCTACAATATCCTCCAGCCCTCTAAAATCCCCCCATGTGCCTCCAGGCCCAGCACCTGCAGGATCCGAGGAGTCCCCAGGGGCAGGAGCCATCCAACAGCACCGATGAGGAGCTGGGCGTTGACGTTGTAAGAAGGGCAAAAATTGGGAGGATGCAGTTTTGGGGCGTTAGGGTGCCCTGTGGATCAGAGGGGAGATCTGGGTGGAGTCCATGGGCTCTGGAGACCCCACTGCATATTTTGAGCGCCATGAGAGTTTTGGGAGGAAGGCAGGGGATCTGGGGAAGTTTATACATGGGAGTGAAGCTAAGGAGTTTTGGGAGTCTCCTGTGGTTTGGGTGGACTTAAGGGTGTTGGATTCGCGTGACAATTTTGAGATGAAACCGAACGTCTTTTGGGTTCTTCCCTTGGAGGATGCACCGACGCTGCAGCGGCACAGGCGCTGCTGCCGCCGCACCCGCCCGCCTTCTGCCTTCATGGGTGAGCACCTGCATGGCCGCGCACCATCACCTGTCATTGAACGTCGTAGTGCATTGTTACCCATCATGGCAAATGTCACTGCCCCCAGGCCAATCCGAGGGCCTGGAGTCACCGTCGCCCCCCAGGAGCTCTGAGGGGGATGCCAAGCCCCACCCACTGGTGAGTAGCCCTGCCTGCCGTGACAGAGCCCTGTCCGTTGGTCCCTAGCCCTGCCCACAGCCCCGCAGCCTGCCCTATGGGTGCTGTCTTTAGCCTTGTAGCCATGGCCACTGCTGGACACGCCCCCAGGCACATCGCCACGCCCCCAATCCCACAGCCCCGCCCCCCACCCCCTAGCTGTAACCACAGCCACTTGGCCCCGCCCATCGGCACATAGCCCCGCCCACATAGCCCCGCCCACATAGCCCCGCCCACATAGCCCCGCCCACAGACACCCCTGCTCAGCCCCTCATGGCCTCGCCTCCAACTCGTGGCTCCGCCCCCTGTCTGCAGGCCCCCCCTCCTTCTCTTGGCCACGCCCACCGCCCAATGGCCCCTCCTGTGACCTCAGACCCACTAAGCGTCCCCTGACCACGCCCCCAAGATCTCATCCCCGCCCCTCGAGGCCCCGCCCCCTGGGTAAATGGGCGTGGCCTCCCTTAAAGGCGCCGTGCTTCTCCTTCCCCCAGCACTTCAGGGCCCCGGAGGCGCAGACCGTGGGGGGCTCCCCGCAGCAGGAGGAGTTTGGCCGGTGAGCTGGGGGTGAGGGATTGGGGTGCAAGAGGGCGTTCCCAAGGTGATGATGGAGGGATCAACGGGAACTGGAGGGAGAGGGAAGCTATTAGGGTCCAGTAGAAGGCAACTGGGAATACTGCAAGGGGATCATGATGAATTAACTGGGGATCATAAGGTGCAACTGAGGTCTTCTGGTGCTGTGGGGTACAAAAATGGGGTAACTGCGACTTTAGAGGGGGTAAATGTGGAAAGTCTTATAGAGGTAGTGGGTTAATCTGTGATCCTGGAGGGGTAGCTGGAGTTGAGAGGGCAATAGGAGGGTTCTTGTGGGTCACACGGTCTGTGTCGCCCCTAGGCTGCCCCCCACAGTGCCTCCCTATCCCCAGGAGCACAGCTGCAGCCCAGGCTCAGAGGCATCAGGTGGGTTCCCCCTCCCAAAAGCTGCCCGTGATGCTTGAATCCTCCCATAAAGCCAGGGATTTCCCCAGAACCCTCTTCACGAAGAACACCCTCGCCAAAATTATTTTTCTCTCTCAAAAACGTGTCTTTAATTCACATTTCCCACCGCAGCCCCTCCGGAAGCTGGCAGCCCCGGCCTGGAGTGGGCAGGGCTTCCTTCCCCACAGACCCCGCCCCCTCAGGTGAGTGGCAGCTCGGGGTCAGCCAGGCTCCGCCCCCCGTCCGTAGAAGAGCAGCCCTGGGGGCGGAGCTTAGGGCTGCAGGCTCCGCCTTCCGCCTTTCTCCAGGCCCCGCCCAGGATGGCGGCGTGGCCCCAGCAGAGCAGCAGCGGCGAGGGAGGGGGCGGGGCCATCCCGGAGGCCACGCCCACTGCTCCCACGGGTGAGGGCAGTGCGAGATCCAGCGATAGCGGGAGGGGCGGAGGGGGATCCGGAGGTGCGCTGGGATGCTGGAGGGGTTCAGGCGGCGCTCCTGGGGCGCTGTGGGATGCCGGAGGTCTCTCTCGCAGGGACCTCAGACAGGAGCCGCCAGCTGCCCCCCCCGAAGCCCCAGCGGAGGCAGCGAGCCCATTCCTGCGACAAGGCGGACGCCGGGCCCGGGCCGGGGGGAGGAGGTGAGGCCGCCGCGGTGCTCTTAAGGGGCCGCCGCTCACCTCACCGCTCGAACGGCCACTTCTCCCCACAGGCACCTGAGGGGCGGGCAGGACCTCGCGACGGCCGCTCTCGGACGGGAATAAACTTTTATTGAAGAGAAAGCTCGGGAGGTCTCGTTAATGGCATTAAAACCACGGCGCCCCGCCGCACCACGCAGCCGTGCGCTTCCCGCGGCCGCTCCGCTTTTCCCGCCCTTTTAACGGTTTCCCTCAGGCTCTTCCCGCCCTTCCCGGAGCTCCGCCCCCCCCATGGCGGCTCCCCCCGCCCGGGATTGGTTCCACTGCAATCGCTGCTACCGCCAGGAAGGCGCCCGCTTCTCCGTCACCAGCTGCGGGCACGTCCTGTGCGAGGCCTGCCTGAGTGCAGGTAGGGATCCCCGCAGAGCCCCTCACAGAGCGGAGCAGAAAGGAGGTTCCGACTCCTGACCCGGGCCTTCAGCCCCACACAGCGGTGGCGAGGAGGGACTCCGTGTTCCTGACCCACAGCTGGGGAACTTTTGCCCTCACGAAATGCCCACCCTAATCTTTAGCCCACGCACAATGGAGGCGCGGAGAGCCCCACCTCTTTTAGCCCCCCAAACAACCCCAGCTCCGTCCTGCTCTGATGGCTGCAGGCTGGGCCGTTCTGGGGGGAGGTGAGGGTTGTGCCCTACCTTCTGCCATGTGTGGGCCTTCAACCTCCTCCCCACACCACAGGGCCGTGCCCCATCTGTGCTGCTGTGTGCCGTCGCTTCCCCATCCCTGAGCAGGTGAGTGCCCCCAGGACCATCATTTGGGTTACCCCCAGCACACCTGGAAGGGTCCATTTCAGTCCCCTTTTCTGCACACTCACAGGACGCCCTTTTGCACCTCCCTCTTCACTTACACACATGTGCAGGCTGCCATTTTGTCACACCCTTCCCCCTACAACCAGAGGCTGCCGTTTTGTACCCCGGTGGGCTGCCACTTTGAAGGCACATGGCCATGTCGTCCTTCTCCCCCTCCTTCCCCCACTTACAGCTGGAGGAGGCGCTCTTCTTAAAGAGCCCCGCCGCCATCGCCCGGCAGCGCTTGGCACACATCTCTCAGGTGAGCACACCCAGGGGGCTCCCCACCATCTGTAAACACCCCCAAAGCACAATGAACCCCAAGTTTCTCCCCCTAGGCCTGGCGCTTCCAGCAGGCACAGGTGGATCTGCTGCTTGCCTCCCACCGTGACACAGCGCGCCGGGCTGAGGCGGCTCTGCGGGACACCCGGCGGGCATTGGACTCCAAGCAGAGGTGAGTGTTGCTGCCTGGGGGCAGCCTGTGCCCAAACCCAGCCTCACTCAGGCTTCCCACAGGGAAGCGGAGGCGCTGCGGAGGGAGAACGGGGAGCTGCGGAGGCACCTGCGGGAGGCCGAGGTCACCTTTTTCTCTTTGTTTGATGCTCACCCTTTCCTCAACGCTTAGGCCTGCTTTTTCTCCTCAGTTAACCTCCCATTTTTCTATATTTAGCTCTCATTTTTTCCTCATTTAACCTCTGTCAATTTAGCTCTCCATTTTTCCTTATTTAGCTCCCTATTTTTCCTCGTTTAGAATCATAGAATCTTTTGGGTTGGAAAGGCCCTTCTGAGGTCCCACGCCCTGCACTGACCCCCAAGGGAGCAGGGACCCCCACAGCTCCATCAGTGCCCCATCCCCTGCCCACGGGTGTCTGCAGTGACGGGGTGCCACCACCTCTCTGGGCAACCCGTGCAGTGTCTCACCACCATCTTTACTGTGAAAAAACTTCCTCCTTATATCCAATCTAAATCTCTCCTCTTTTAGTTTGAAACCCATTTCCTCTTGTTCTATCACAACAGATCCTGCTAAAGAATCTTCCCCATCCTCATAGCCCCCTTTGTACAGATTTAGATTTAAGCCCCCCTTTACCCATTCTACCCATTTTTCCCCATTTTACACTTTTACCCAATTAACCCTTCATTTCTGCCCCCTCTCCCCAGTACTTCTCCTTATTTTACTCCAATTTTTCCCAATTTAACTCCTTTTCTTCCCACAGGTCTCCCCTACCTGGCGGTCAAGCAGGTGAGCCCCAAGCATTTCAATTTTGGGGAAAGGGAGACCATCCAATGATCAGCATCCCGTACTTTTCCATGCAGGAGCAGCACTCCTCGGCCCATTGGCATCACTTCCCCAGCTACGACAGGTAGATTCCCCCCCTAATTTTACCCCCAATTTCAAGAGGAACTTTATTAAAAGGTCTCTGTCTGCTCCAGTCACCCCACAGCCTCGGCGGCAGCTCAGCGGGCAGGTGGTGAGGTGAGCAGGGCCCTCCAGGTTGCCCTATTGCAGAAATGGGAGGAACACCCTCAGATTTGTGTCTTTTCCCCTCAAATGTTCTCCCCCTCCATAACGCAGCCGCTTGCCCTCACTGGAGTTTCCCTCAGCCAGCAGCACCCCGACGTGGCTGGGTGAGCCCCCAAACCTGCTGCAGGTGCCGCCTCCTCACCCAGCTGGCTCCCAAACCACATCCCTCTGGGCTGCACGCTGCACCCCCACCTCTGCATTCCTGCAGCCCTTTTATCCCCGTGCCTGTAGCCCTGCCCCCTGCCCAGAGCCCCTTCGCACCCCTGACCCCTGCGCCCACTCCCCAGCTTTGGCTTCCCCACCGCTCTCTTGATTCCACCCCTTTCCAGCCTTGCCCCTCTCCCCCACAGCCCCATCTCCAGGCTCCACCCCCAGTCTGGCCCACAGGTGAGTGGTGCAGGGTGGGATTGGGGATGCGCTTTCTGGGCACCCTGGATGTCCCTGTGCCCACTAAAGCCCCCGTCTGCCCAGGGCTTCCCTGCTGGCTTCCCGTACTCCGTTGTGGGGTCCTTTCACCACTCCGCCGCTGCCGGTCCCCGTCCCACCCGCTGAGCCCCAGCACTTCCTGTCCGCCGGCCTGCAGCCCCGCCGTGGCTGAGCCCACCATGGCCTGGCCTCCACCAAGCTCCTACTGCAGCGCTGCCGTGTGCGGCTCAAAGAGGCGCCTTCTGGAGTGCTGGTGGCACCCCTGCATTGTCCAGCAGCGTGGGACCATCGCTGCCATTTTGGAGGTAGAGCGCTCATCTCGCAAGCAGATGCCTTTCCTAAATCCTCTGCCTCCCTGCCGAGACCCCACCGGTTCCTGTCGTCTTCCTTTGCAGTTCTGTGGGATGTTCTGGGGCTGCCAGAGGGGTTCGCTGCTCCCCCTTAGTGCACTGCACCCCTCCAGGCCTGACTTCCACCTCCTGCTTAGCATCACCGTGCAGGCCAAGGTAAGCTTGGAGCCAGGGAACCTTGTGGAGACAGAGCCTGGCTGGGGCAAGCCCAAAAATCTAATGCTGGGGATGCCAAGGCCCAATGGAAGCTCCTGTAGGAGCTGTGCCCTGTGTGAAAGGACCTCCTGGAGGGAACCCCATGGCCCCATAGAAGCTTCTGCTGAGCAGATTTTGCTCATGGGGATCCTTAGGTCCTATGGTGGGAACCTAAGGCTGGGTGTAGGACTCATGGTGGGAACCCACAGCTACATAAAAGCTTCCAGAGGGCTGATTTCTGCTTGAAGAGAGGGATCCATGGAAGGACCCCAAGGACATGTAAAGGTGTCATGGCACACTCGAGGCCATAGAGGGACCCCCATGGAGCTGACCCTTACCCACCACATCCCCTCAGCCCTGTGTCCAGCCCCTGACCCTGCAGTTTGACCATGGTGTGTTATCATGGTGGTGGGATCACGGCCACCTGCCCATAAGGGTGCCCACATACAGCTGGTGGCCACCAGTCTGCTATCCTGTTTGTCCCTGCAGGGCTCTACTATGCAGGCAGTGAGGGATCCCACGTGGCTGGCTGAGCTCTTGTGGTGGGCCTGGGCTCCACCTGCAGCACCCTGGGCTGAGGCCGCAGCTGGGGCTCCCAGTGGAGGCTGCCTGAGGCCTCTGCTGTGCCACCTTCCAGGAAACACGATGCGATGCCTCCTCGGTTTGCCATGGTGCTGTGCAATGTGGGGCAGCTGGCTGCACCACATCTCATCCAGCAGCGTGGCTGAGCTGCAGGAGCTCTGCGGATCACAGCAAGTCCAGCCTGAGGCTCTGCAGGGATGGAGGGGTGAGGAGCTGCTGCAGAGATTTTTCTTGGTCGTGGAGGGTCAACTGCAGTCTGAATCGGGGGTGTTTTGGCACAAGGAGTCTCCTTAGTTAAGATGGTTTTGGGGTGAAGGGACTTTTTTCTTAAGATTGAGGTCTACACGGTTGCAGAGTGAGGTTAAGATAGAGACAACAGCAGCTGTGGGGTGAGTTACAGGGGCTGCCGCAGTTGGGGAGGGTGGTGATAAAAGCTGGAGGCCACACCTGAGGGCTGCAAGCTCTAGGTCAGTGCTGAGCAGAGCCACGGTGCTGCTGTCTTGGGATGCAGAGGCACCTCTACGGCCAGGAAGGTGCCAGCTGCCCTTGGACTGAGGGCTGTGGACTGGGACACCTCCCTCCCTGCCAGGTGTATAAAGTTTCCTGATTCGTTCCAGCTGATGTCTGTCATTGTTGGAGGTGGGACGTGCGGTTGGTTGCAGCTCCTGATAGCAGAGGGCGGGATGTGAGCGCACGGCCGTGGGGGGCTGTGCCCCAGCTCGTGTGCTGTTGGAGCTGGGGGAAGTGAGAAGGGCGCTGCGCAGCCTGCAGGTGCTCCAATAGCTGTGGGACGTGTCGAGCTCACCGCGGGGCTCTGAATGGCCTCCAGGTCCCATCAGATGGCACCGGGTTCCACCGGAGTGTTGTAGAGTACAGGGAAGCCTTGGAAGCCTCTCCGGAGGCCTCGGTGGGGCCTGGAGCAGAGGAGCTTTGGTGGCGTCTGAGTGGCTGGGAGGCGGCTGCCCCGGGAAGGTCAACGAGGATCAGCTCTGGGTGGTGCTGGGAGGCCCGAGGGGTGCGGGCAGCTCCGCGGTACTTGGATGCCTCCAGAAAGCTTTAATCGCTACAAACTCCCAAATCCTCACTCAGAGAATCCAGAAACAGCTGCAACCCTTCTGTAAGGCAGCAGCTGCCCCGCAGCTCCTCCCTGACAAAACGCTCCCCAGGACGGAATCAGCAATACTGGTGGGCACGGGCACCCAGCTCTAAGAGAACGAATGCCAGCGAGCAGCGGCCGCCCCACGCATCCCTTAAAAACGCAGCTCTATCTGCTCACAGCTCCCGCACCGAGCCCCGCAGCTCAGACGAGCAGCGTCCACCGCCTTCCTGCTCCCGCAGCTCCATCTGCTCCGCGCTCTCGTCTCCGTCTCGGACTCGCGTGCCCGAGCGAACCCCGGCAGCGGCCCGGTTCGGCTCCTATTGCGCCGCCACCCAGCAGCGCTGAGCCGACCCGCACTGAACAGCGAAGCGCCGCGGCCTCCTGGCTTTACGGGGACTTCTCCAATCGCTACTGCGCATGCTCCGGCGTGCGCCAGTCTTTGTCGTCAGTCGTCCAAGCTCTATGGTCACCCGTCCGCTAGGCAGAAACGCGGAAATGGCGTTTCTTTACGGTTGCCGCTCTGCACTGCCACTCTATGGTAAAAGGCTTTTCCGGCAGTACAGCGCATGCGCGTACAAACACGGAAGTAGCGGCGTTCCGGTCCGTGCCGCGTGGCGGTGAAACGAGCAGGGAACGCACTGCCCTGCTGTGCGGGACTCACTGCCCTGTGCTGCGCGGCGAGGGAGAGGGGAAAAGGCCTGAGAGCAGTCATTGTGCGTATGTCTGTAACCGCACTGAGTGCGTTTGTGTAACCGCACTGCGGAGCGCGCGCTGCTGTTCCTCACTCTGCTCCGCAGCGCAGTTTTGCATTCCCGCGTTTCTCTCACCCGGGTCACGTGGTGCCGGGTCACGTGGTGCCGGTTGCTAATGGCGGCGGGGGAGTCCCGTGCCCAGCGGCAGTGGGCGCGGGATGGGAAGGGGAGCAGAAAGGGGCGATGGAGGGCGGAGCGCCGCCAGGTTGTGCTGCGCTGCACTGCACAGGGTGTTGATTTTCAGAAGCCAATGCACGATGTGTAGTAGCACATTTTAGAAGCAGAGCCGTTGAACTGTTGCGCTGTGTGATTATTTCTTGCTGAAGCAGCTGTTAGGTGTTGTGAGGTTCTGGATGTGGCGCTGCAGACTGCAAAGCGGCTCTGTTCTAACGAGAGACCTTCAGCACACGAAACAGCAATGAAACGGCGCAAACGGCTCAGCTGGCATCTAAAGGAGCCCCAGAAGGGCCTGCAGCTGCGCAGGAGCTGAGCTGTTACTGCAGCAGGCAGCGTGGAGGTGCTGCTCCTTGTCTGCCAACACCCTGCTATATGGCATTCATATCATAGAAGCACAGAATGCCCTGGTTTAAAAAAGGCCCACTGTGCTCACCTGGTTCCAACCCCTGCTGTGTGCAGGTCACCAACCAGCAGCCCAGGCTGCCCAGAGCCACATCCAGCCTGGCCTTGAATGCCTGCAGGGATGGGGCATCCACAGCCTCCTTGGGCAACCTGTGCCAGTGCCTCACCGCCCTCTGGCTCAAAAACTCCATATCCAACCTAAACCTCCCCCGTCTCACTTTAAAACCATTCCCCCTTGCCTCATCACCATCCACCCTTGTAAACAGCCATTCCCTTCCTGTTTATACGCTCCCTTCAAGTACTGGAAGGCCACGGTCTCCCCAGAGCCTTCCCTTCTCCAAGCCAAGCAATCCCAGTTCCCTCAACCTTTCCTCACACAGAGCTGCTCCAGCCCTCTGCTCATCTCAGTGCCTCCTCTGGACCCACTCCCAGAGCTCCACGTCCTTCCTGTGCTGGAGGCCCCAGACCTGGACCCAGTACTGCAGGTGGGGGCCTCACAAGGGTCGAGCAGAGGGGGACGATCGCCTCCCTGTCCCTGCTGGCCATCCCTTTTTAAAGGCAGCCCAGAACACAGTTCAGTTGGCCTTCCGGGTGCTGGCTCATATCCAGCTTCTCTTCCACCAGGACCCTCGAGTCCTTCTCCGCTCTCGAGGAGATCTTCCCCCAGTCTGTATCAATACCTGGGATTGCCCCAACCCAATGCAGCACCCTGCACTTGGCCTTATTGAACACCGTTAGGTTTTCAAACTGATCTCTACCCAAGGACGAGCAGATGTGCAGAAATAATGGCTGAGTGCTGAGTGAGCAAATGTTCTGATTTTGATATCTGTAGATTACAGGTGGTTGGCGTTCTCCTCCCCAGTGTGTGTCAGTGAAGGAAGTTCAGCTTGAGGATGAGTGAGGAAGAGCCCTGGATGAAGCCAAAGGCTGTCAGTGGGGCTGAAAGGATGCTGGGCAGTAGAAGAGATCATGGCTTGGAAGACTGGAAACCTCATAATCACTGCCTGAGCGAGGTGTGCATGTCTTAATTGCCTCGCAGGCAATTGATGTGTGCCATCTCTGGAAATACAGTGAGTTCTGGATCCTGCCATCTTTGAAGTGCTAACGGTGGAAACATTCACAGTGCTTCACAGTGCTGCTGACGAAGAGCCCCGGCCTGAATGGTGACAAAACTTTGCCGTTAAGTTTCTCAGCTTCTTTCCTTCAATTCGGTGTCAGGATGAAGCTGTGAAGCGCTGCGCTGATTTTACCCAGAAGTTACCCTGTAAACCCCCTGCAGCCACAGCGTCAGCTCTGCTCCTTCTGCCTTTCATGAAGTTGTGTTTCACCAAGGTTAATTGAGACGTGCCTTGGGGTGCTGCCAGCGCCTCCGTTTCTGTGTGCCGGACCTCCCGTTCCATTCAGAGCTCTACAAAAAGTGCTTTGCACAGAGAAGCTCTTAGCAGGTCAGCACAAAACTGAAAGCACAGAAGTGAATGAAGGGAGGAGGCGTTTTTTCGCAGTGCTTTCAGTGTCTGCGATTCATTCAGATTCATTAAGTGGTGTTGATGGAAGACGTCACAGGCTGTGGCCAAACGAGAGAGGAAGCATTGCTGCAGGGAGTATCATTCATTGGATTAAAATGCTGAGATTACATTCATTCGATACAACGCACTGACAGAAAGCCTACCTGGACTTGGAAGGCTGCTTTGTGTTCCCTCAGCCATAATGCAGAGTGGCAAACACAGCGATTTCTGTGCTTCTGGCTGTGTGTGATGCTGCACCCAGATGCAGAGCGGTTCTTCTGCTTGGAGCAATGTCCTTTATGCTTTGCCTCCTGTGGGCAGGAGAAGCTGCAGGGCTGCCCTGTTGTGCCTCTGGGGGGAAGGAAAGCCTCCATGTTCACATTGCAGCCTTTGGCACCTGGGATCCGTGGTTGGAGTCGGTGATCTTTAGGGCCGTTTCCAGCCTGAGTGACTCTATGGCTCTGCAATCCATCCCTGTGTCCCCACGACCCTGACACACACGGGGAAGCCTCGGGCTGCTCCCTCCACATGGTTGCTCACAGGAGCTTCCCGGGTGGGCAGAATGCTGTTCTGAGATTGGATCCTCAGAGCTGTGCCCTCAGCACAGCAAACACCACGGATGCCTTTGAGTTGAGGGAAAGGAATTTGCACGGCGAGAAGGGAGGTGCTGAGCGCCCCTAAAGCTGGCCTCCAATTTGCGGCATGCTTTCATCCAGCATTGTTGTGTGATGTTTATCACCTTTATTTTTGTATTTTCTCCTCGTAGATTTTGTTTCGGGAGGAACACTCCGATGCTTTTTGGTGTCCTGAATTACTTTACAACTCGAGGTGGAAGCTGGAGACTCGGGTCCAATATCCCAGAGCCGCAGCTGATGCTGCACCCAGGAGTCCAGGCTGTGCTCAGGATTACGCCAAGATGAGGAGCTGCCGTTGCTCTTCAAGGAGGTAGGAGTTGGTTCTTAATACATGATATTCCTTTTTTACTTTCTTTTTGGACCAGCGGTGGTATGCAGGCTGACTCGGTGTGTTGGAAAAGTGTTTCGTATTGTTGTCAGGTGGCATTAGCAGCAGAGCAATGGGCCGGGGCAGGGAAAGATGGAGGGAGGGAAGGGGGCAAGGAGAGGGGGGTGGAAGAAGGAAAGGACAGGAACCTGCAGAGCGTCCTGGAAAGCAGTGAGGAGCTGTGGGAGGACTGCAGGGTGCCACGTGCTGTAACGGGTGTCTGTGTGCATGGCCACGACTCGTTTGGGTCGGGGTTGTTGTCGTTTCTGCAGTGGGAAGAGCTGGAGCAGATGGTGCAGCCCGTGCAGACCTGTGGGATCCTTGGACAGCCCTCTGCTGTCAGGCTTCCTCCGTGTGCCCAAACTGCGAGCTGTGCCGGGCCTGGCTGCGCTGCTCCATGCCTGCAGCTGCATCTTTGTTCTCTTCTCTCCCACACAGAGCCCTGAGGTGCCCCCACCATCCTCTGCCCACCCCCAAAATGCTGAAGAAGACATTTGGCAGTGGGTCACAGGAGTCCCAGCACCCTGCTTTCCCTGTCTCTGGAGGTGTTCAAGGCCAGGTTGGATGGGGCCCTGGGCAGCCTGGTTTAGCATTAAACGTGGAGGTTGGTGGCCCTGCATGTGGCAGGGGGGTTGGAGCTTCATGATCCTTGAGGTCCCTTCCAACCCTGGCCATTCTGTGATTCTGTGATTCCCTCTGCTTGCAGTTCTCTCCTCCTCTGCCCCACAGGGCTCCAGCCTGGGCAATGGCAATGGGGTGGGGGGCACGGAGTGCTGGCTGGGGAGGGGCTGCGCAGCCCAGACCTCGTGTGCTCTGCTGCAGCTGAGCCTGATGGACCTGTGCAACTGCAGGTAATCAGGGAATTGGAATTCTAATTACTTCTCTTTCATTTGAAAAGTAAAGTAAGGTTCTGTCTTCTGTTTTCAGTCCCGGTTGGTGTGGCTGTCAGCAGAGGAAGGCGTATCAAATCCATCTGTGTTACGATGAGCACACAAGGACCATGGAGTGAAGGTAGAAAAGGCTCCATGGGGATTTTATTTTATTTTTTTTTTGGTAAACATTTTGGGTAGCAGCATCTGTGGAAAAGTCTTTTGCCTGACCTATTTCTGGTTTATTTCCTGCACATTCAACCAGTAACCAGGCTGTATCAAACCAGAAGGTGTTACAGAGGTCACCTGCAGTGCCTCAGGGGCCACAGAAGGGGCTGTTCAATGAATTCAGTCTCTGACTTCTTACTCCTCCCTATGTGAGCTGCAGTGGCTGTTTTTGTTGTTGTTCTTCGATCCTGGAGAAAAGACATTGTAAACATTCAAGCCTTTGAGCAAACGAAGCATGAGAAGGAAGACAACAAAACCCTCGGTGATTATTGCTGCAAGAATAACAGCAGTGTGCATTGAGTCTGCAGTAAATAGTGCTGGTGTGATGCGTGACGTCAGGCAGTTATGAAGGCTGGGACGATGTTGGTGAAGTGGTGCTGAGAGCTGAAGGGGGACTGGATTCCTGGTGGTGTTTCTGCTGCTGAGAAACAGCCACGGAGTGAGGCAGCGGAATGGAAAATGGGCTGGGGCTCGAAGCCCAGCTTAGAAAGAAAGGCGTTCTCAAGCTTCGCAGCTCTGACAGCAATCCCTGCTCACAGCAATTTGTCCTCCTGGGTTCTCAGCAACCCCAGGAATTCAGGGCCAGGATGCAGAACCGAGTGCTCTAACAAATGAGATTTCCCTTCACCGGCCCCACGTGGGCCTCGCTTCTGACTTTTCCACGTGCAGGAAAGTGACCTCGCAGCTGCAGTGTTTGTTCTGGGATGTATGGGTGGGATCTGCCCCTCTGTCCCTCTCTGTTCCTTGCAGGATGTGGTTTCTCACAGCGAAAAGCTTTCTAAGGAGATCGAGAAGCAAAAGGGAGGTTTGAAAGCCTTGAGCGAATAGGAGAAGAAGTGCTGGCAGTCTGTTGGCATCTGTTCTGCTTCCTTCAGGTGTGCAGGATTCACTTGGTTCTTTAGGAATTAAGCCGTTTTCCTTTAGCTCTGCACTTCGTCACTCGGGGCGGCGCTGGTTGTGATCTGATGCAACGCCTTCCTGAAACTGAGTCCAATCTCAATCCTTTCCTTACAAGGAGTGCCAGCAGGCTGTGAGCTCGGGCTTTGCAGGCCAGGGCAGCTGACACAGAGGGCTCTGACTGTTCAGAAAGGAACGAGAAGGCTGAGAATCAGGTGCTTTGTTTTTACCCGCTGTCCTCCCTAAGGATCCTGCCTGTCTGAGGCACGTTTGGTGGCTTTGGCTGGAGCTGAGCTTGGTGCTTATGGCTTCAGTCCTCTGTGATGCAGAGCTGCACCACCGGCTGCCCACACCAAACACGCGTGTTGTTGGAGGAGGTTACTCCATGCATTTTGTTTTGTTCAGAGTGTGAGATGCTGTGTGACGTGCGGAATCGAACTCTGTGACCCAGGTGAGGTTTATTCAGTGCTGCGCAGACACCGGGTGCAAGGGGCATCGATCCGCCTGGCTTGGAAAGTCGTGCTGCAGATACAGGCTGCACTCAGGCATCATCAGGAGTTTCCCTGGATTCGGATCCATATTCATTACGCCCCGACAGTTCATTAGCGTGCAGACCCTCCCCTCTGCTGTGTGCATAGTGGGTCGTGGGATGAAGATTTGTTGTTTTCCTCACAAAGGCTTCTGACCGTTTTCGCTGTCAACTCCTGGCCTTTCAGGGGGGGCTTCCCCCCAAACCGGTTTCTTCTCGCCCTGTGGACATCAAATCCCCTCCCTGCCAAATGTCCTCGGGCTGTTCTCAAACCTTATCTTTAGGGCCTTCATCCCCCTCACTGTCCCAGACACAGGGTCTGCCATCCCTTATTTTCTAACAAGCTCTACATTCCTGCTTCTATCAACTATCTCTAACTATTCCCCTTCAGCCCCTTGTTCTCAGTCACTGTGAAGCCTTCTTGCCTTTTGACTTTCCCTTGTGGGCCCGTCTCACCTTTCAGCATGCCTTCAAACACCCACATCTACAAGAAATTTCTTTTTTCTTTTTTCCTTCTTCCCTTGGAGCAGTGGTTCAGGGAGGTGTGGATGCTTTCTTTGCTGCTGTGCTTCCCATAGCAGTATTCCAGGAATGGCTTCTGTCATTGATTGCTTTCTTGCTTATTTTAAATACTGAAGGGAACTTACTGTTCTTTTTCTTCTGCCTGCATAAAACTCCCTTTGTTTCCATTGTAGTGTTGAGTTGTGCTCTCGAATGGAATGTTCAGCTGGATCTACAACAGCTGCCAAGGAGGAGCCTGCAGGCAAACGGTGATGGATTTCCCAGGTGAGGTCATAAAGCTCCTGGGGTTCCTGTATTATTCTTACATAGGGCTGTATGTGATTGCTGTACTGCGACTCTTATGACCAATCCATTCTGTTTCCCCAAGGCGATGCTGAGACGCCTCCTGCTGACTGAGTTCTACCTCGTGCTTCACATTAATTCTTCCCTTGGGTTAAAAGCAGACCAAATCCTCGAAGCCGTGCCTGGGAATCCCGCTGTTACTGGAGTGGTTCAGCCTGGTGCCGTGGTCAGAGCGCCCTGCAGCAGATCCTGGCATTGGTTGTGAATGGGAGAACTCGCAACCAATCGCTCCACATCAAAACCAATCCTGTGGATATGGACAAACCTCGGGCGCCCCGTGCAGGATCCCGGCGTGGGGAGGCCACGTATGGAAGCTCTTCCTGCTGTGCTTCTGCTAAGAGTTGCTCGGCTGGTTTGTGTTGCTCTGTTAATTGTTCCAAGCCATCCTTGGCTTTGCTGCACATCTCTGTCTGATTGATACCAGCTTTTTCATCACCTCAGACACTGGCCGAGAAAAGTAATAATAAATAAAAAAATGCATGACTACATCAGTTTGCTGGTTATTAATTTATTTCCACACAAATTTCCACATCATAAAAACTTGGCACAGGTTTGGTGGGTTTGTCGAAGTTTTCGTTGGTTTTCGTCGTCTCCCCCCCCTCCTCTTCCTCTTCTGGTTTTCCTCTGCCATCGAAAGGAACAGAACGGATCGCCGGGGCTGCGCGGCAATCGGCACGGAGCGGTTGTTTCCGCGGTCTCTGCTGCCCCCACGCGGCCAATCGGGGGAACTGCGGCCATGTTTGTTTGGTGCCGCGGGCCGCACGACGCATGCGCGCCCAGATGCGGAAGTGGCGTGTCGGAGTTTCGACCGCTCTGCGCAGAGAATCCGCCAGTCTTTATTGTGAGACGCCCTGCGGGCGGCACCGCGCGTGCGCTCGAAGACGCACCGAAGGCGCGGATATTTGCACGAACTGCCGAGCATTCATCCCCCACGACCCCCCGCCCTGCGCCGTCCCCCGGCCACGTAAAAGCGCTCTCAGCGGCAGTGGAACGCGAGCAGCTCGGCGATTCACCGTCGCGGGGCTGGCGTGGAGCGGCCCCGGCATCGCAGCCTCCCGGGACCGGCACGGAGAGGCTCCGCGGTCGCCCCAAGCGGAGCATTGCCGAGTTTGCTAGGAGGAAATGGGCTTTTCCACCCGTCCTGTCCCACCCCCGGTAGCCGGGCTCCCTCACGAGGCAGCGCCGCACGGCCGCACGCACGGCACCACGCGCTGCAGGTCAGCGGCCACGCAGCCGAGCCGCGGCGCTGTCGGGGGGGGGGGGGGGGCGCTCCGAGGGGAGGCGGCAGAAATACCGCAACGGAGCGGGAAGCGAGCAGGAAAACGCACCGTGTGAGGCTGGGAGGGGAAGGGCGGCGCGCCCCGATCTCCTGCCGGCCCTTGACCGGGTGCTGCTCACAGGGGAAAGCTGCGTGTCCAGGAATGCCCCGGAGCCCAGCTTTGGTCACTGCCCGAACAGGTGAGGACCTCGTATGGATGCACATCTTTTCCATTTCACAGCGCGGTACAATGCGGTGCTCCCAGCTCGTTACGGTGCTTCAGGGCACCTTCCTGACCTTTTCCTCCTCTCTTTCCCTGGTTCTCCCCAGATTTTTGCCTTGCTTTTCCCTGTTATTCCTGCTCCCTTCTTCTATGTCACTTAGGTGTTGCCCTTCCTTTGTGAATATCAAACCCCCAGCTTTGCTGCTCCATAAGTTATGTGCTGGGGTTGCATTACTTCACTTTGTGCCCTGGGCTTTTTATGGGGCTCAGCATCAAAGCGAATGGCAGTGGGGGGCCTCACTGGCTGGGATGTGACCTTAATGTTAACCTTAACCTCGACTTGGGGGTTGGACTCGATGATCTCTGGAGGTCCCTTCCAACCCCTACAATTCTGTGACTCCAACCCTCATAGGAGCTGTAAAGATAACCATATGAACCCCCCTTGTAAGTCTAATCCTGAGTGTTTTTCCTGCACTATTTTTGCAGTGGAAATTTCCAGTATTTCTGCGTGTAACGTGGGATACGTTGTTTTTCACACAGAAAGCTGCTGAACAGAGTGAAGTTGAGACTGGGGTGTTCCAACCTAGGTAAAATTGGGACAGGCACCAGGTAAGGAAATTATACAGGGTAGGGAGAGTTTGATACGGGACGAGTGTGCAGGTAGTTGAAAATATTGTCCTCCTATCGCAATAAAAAGTGTGGAACATACCTAAAATCGATGGGTTGGTAACAGACATTGCAGGGAAGCGTAAGGTAGCAATGGAAGTAACAGTGTTGGAAGGTTGTGAGCCTGAGATGCTCCACCAGGGGGTGCCAGGAGCGGCTTTACCTGCGTCACACCCAGGGTCTGGCAGGTCTACGAGGATGGCTTTCACTCACTGGCTGTGCAGTTTCTCCCTGGTCCTTAGGGGTGTGCACCCGTTGTTGCAATAATGAATAAAATGCCCTTTGCAGAGATCGTGGCTTGATTGGAAATTGTTGATTTCGCACAAGATGCCCCATGAGTTTTCCCTGCTGCAGGGAATTTCCAGCTCTCCCTGAGTCTTTCCTCATAGAAGGAGATGCTTGAGAGTGGAGACCCCTCCCCATCTGTGTGTCTTTGGTTGGACTTTCTATGGCAGCTCCCCGCTCCTGTTGTGCTGCAGAGCCCAGGACTGGACGTGGTTGTGCAGAACAGCTTCACCAGTGCTGAGGGGAAGGTTTGCAGCACTGACCTGCACCTCATAACATAACCCTGGTGGGTACTGGCCTCCTTTGCTGCTTACCAGGGCAGATTCCTGCTGTTTTATGAAAGCTCCGTTGATGTTTTAAAGCCTTCTTGGCTTTCACAAACCACTGAGAAACACTGCATGGAAATGCAATGGTGCCAAAATGTAGGATGCTGCAGATGCATGAGCTGGCACCAACACTGCAAACAGTGGGAAAACCCAGGAGAAACTGAGATACCTGAAGAACACAGGGCAAAAGAGTTCCAGAAGAGAAGGATCTTCCTCCTGCAGTGCTGGCATCTTCAGCTGATTCCTGATGTTTAGCAGGCTTAAATTTCAACAGCTGAAAACCAAACGGAGGTCAAATATTGCGGCTGGAGGGGTTGTGCACAGAAGTTATTTAAGCACTGACACTTTAATTTGTTGGAACTGTATGTTGTGTACACTTTGTCAACAATTATCAAACTCAATTTATTATCCTTTTTAAAAAATTAATCAATTATTAATTGTCAAGCTCAGCTCCTGCGCTGGTCATACACCACCTGTAAAATCTCACTTTGTGGTAGTCACTGTTTGCATTAAAGCTGAAGGGACTTAAACCTCATTGCCACTGTGTTGTTTTTGGTCCCATCTCAAGGCATGGCTGTGTGGGTCCTTGCCCCATTAGTCACAGAACCAGGCCTGAACATGGGCACACATTCTGTACACATCTATCAGTTAATGTGACCGACCAGGCTGGGCTCACATTGCAGCCTTCCCTTGCGTTTGTTGGTCAGGTTTGTGTCATCGTGTGTTCCTGTGAAGAGTTCCCCATTTACGTCATTTTGCATCTGAAAGATTCCTGACCAGAAACACAAAAAACTTCGTAACATTTTTAACTTTTCCTTGAAAACATTCCCAGTTCTTTCCCTGCCTGAAGAGCAGCAAAGTGGGAACTTAAAGTTAGAGAAAAGTGATGAAGACTTCTACCTTGGTCAGCCATTCTGATGAATACATCCTCCTGCTTCATGCCTGAAGGGCTGTGGATCGCTGTAGGCCCTGTTTGTAGCTTCTGGATGAGGAAGCCTCAGCCAGGAAAGAGCCAATAACGTGTCTTACACACCGCACAGGTCCTGTCATGAAGGAAAACCTGCAGCACAGTGCTGTGAGCCGCAGCCCCTTTCCAGGTGTTTGTGGGCTTTTGTGTGCAGAAAGGCTGCAGCATGGCTGCCCTCACACTGCTGCGTAGTTGGATATCGGCGTGGTTGGTGCTCATATTCTCATACCTTCCCGATGCAGGCTAAAGCTTGAACTGCATAACAGAAGAAACCAGGCTTTGGAGATGTGCCGTTTTATGAGGGACATCCTGACGCCTCTACCAACTCCTGTGTTTCCTTCCTAGTTCTGCACATTTCAGAAGTTGTTTGTATTAACCTGGGATCAGTGCTTCCCCTTTACATTCAGCAAAGCTGATAGCATCTGGAGAGTCTGTGGGAGAGTCCTCTCTCAGTGTGTCATTAAGGGCAGGAAGTTAACGAGTAAGTGATGGGCAGCAGTCCTGGTCAGAGGCACTGATCAGCAGGGCCTTCTGAGAGCGTTTGTTGCAGCAGGGTGATCTGGGCAAGGGCTCCTCAGGGGTCTGCGCCTCTCTGGGTTACGAGCTCAGCTTTGTTGCAAAGGGGGCTGTGGGGGCTGTGTCCCCATCCTTGGGCTGCCCGGCAGGAGGGCTGTGGGAGCAGCTGCAGGAGGCTTCTGCTCTGCTCTGCGCGCTGCTCACAGCACCCCGCTCAGCTGCTTGCACAGCCCAACTGAAGTGTTTCCTGCACTCACACGACTTAAAGGTGCTGCATCACTCTTAGCGTAACGACCGGGGAACAGGGGGGCATCCGAAGGAACGCTCACTTTTTAAGCATCGCAGAGGCTCAGTAATGAGCTGCAGCAGTGTTTTACATTGGATCACAGTTTAAGTCCTGGCTCTCCTGACTTCCCCTTTACTGCAGATGGCTCTGTTTGGTACGGCGCTGAGCTCATATTTCAGCTCTGTGATGCACAGCTGTGACTAGCTCTAATGATCTCAATAAATCATACTTGCACAGAGACAAGAAGACAATTATGCAAATGCATTTCTGTACCACATCTGTTGATAACTGGAATCGTACATAAATGAGCCTCAGCTTGTCAACACCAATAACTCCTTTTTTTATAGCAGATACGAAAGATGGGGCAGTGGAGCTGGGGGTAGCTTAAGGAATTTTATTTCAGTCGAGTTACAGTTGCAGAATACATAGCATAAGTTGACAGTTTCTGTAAGAAAAGGAAACGTGCCTTGGGCACACAGAAAGGGGGGGATAAAAGTGTAAGAGCTGCGATTTCTCAAATACAGCTGTGAAGGAGGTCACAAATTACCTTTCCAGGCTGCTTTCTTCCCAAACGATGATTGCAGTCCCAGCACAGCACTGTGGCTTTCTGAGCAGCAGTCACACCTGGCAGCTGGATAAAATGTCTTCCACCAGCCTCTTGTAGACCCACGCATCCCCTCTGAGCCTCTGTCTCCTGATTCCAACTGCTTCGTTCTTACTGAGCTGACACACTTCTAGCTCAAACTTCATGCATTCTTTGCCAAAATCTGGCTTTGTTTGGCATTTCAGGGTGTAGCTGTACGAAACAAAGGAGAAGCAGAACAATCATTTCATCATGTTTCAAAGCTGGCGTTGGACAATTTCAAATGAATACAAGCACTTCATTGCAGTACTGCACTGGCATTCACATGACTGGGAAAACGGCCCATGGTGAGGTCAGCTGAGAGCTGTGACACCCAAA